ATATATATATATATATATATATATATATATATATATATATATATATATATATGTATATATATATATATATATATATATATATATATATATATATATATATATATATATATATATATATATATATATATATATATATATACGAGTGAATTTGCTTGCGTATAAATACGATCCGTCTCCCATTAGGATCAACAGACCTTTTTGCGATATCCTTAATGATGTTAAGTTCCATGGGAGTTCTCTCCCATGGTGGGAACTGGCGACGCTGTCGTCTCTCACGGTGAGGGACCGTGAACCTCCCACAGTCTGAGTTCAGTTCCAGTTTGAGTAACATTTTAGAATAAGGACAGACTTGGGAAGTTCAGTAAGAGGGGTTGTTTGATCTATGCCACAAACTTCCGGGTTACAGGACAGTGAAGATGCACCTATTCACTGTCACACAGGACAGTGAAGGTGCACCTATTCACTGTCACACAGGACAGTGAGGATGTTCCTATTCACTGCTACACAGGACAGTGAAGGTGCACCTATTCACTGCCACACAGGACAGTGAAGGTGCACCTATTCACTGCCACACAGGACAGTGAAGGTGCTCCTATTCACTGTCACACAGGACAGTGAAGATGCACCTATTCACTGTCACACAGGACAGTGAAGGTGCACCTATTCACTGCTACACAGGACAGTGAAGGTGCACTTATTCACTGTCACACAGGACAGTGAAGGTGCACCTATTCACTGCTACACAGGACAGTGAAGGTGCACCTATTCACTGTCACACAGGACAGTGAAGGTGCACCTATTCACTGCTACACAGGACAGTGAAGGTGCACCTATTCACTGCCACACAGGACAGTGAAGGTGCACCTATTCACTGCCACACAGGACAGTGAAGGTGCACCTATTCACTGCCACACAGGACAGTGAAGGTGCACCTATTCACTGCCACACAGGACAGTGAAGATGCTCCTATTCACTGCCACACAGGACAGTGAGGATGTTCCTATTCACTGCCACACAGGACAGCTAAGATGAACCTATTCACTGTCACACAGGACAGTGAAGGTGCACCTATTCACTGCCACACAGGACAGTGAAGGTGCACCTATTCACTGCCACACAGGACAGTGAGGATGTTCCTATTCACTGTCACACAGGACAGTGAAGGTGCACCTATTCACTGTCACACAGGACAGCTAAGATGAACCTATTCACTGCCACACAGGACAGTGAAGATGCACCTATTCACTGCCACACAGGACAGCTAAGATGAACCTATTCACTGTCACACAGGACAGCTAAGATGAACCTATTCACTGCCACACAGGACAGTGAAGATGCACCTATTCACTGCCACACAGGACAGTGAAGATGAACCTATTCACTGCCACACAGGACAGTGAAGATGCTTCTATTCACTGCCACACAGGACAGTGAAGGTGCACCTATTCACTGTCACACAGGACAGTGAGGATGTTCCTATTCACTGTCACACAGGACAGTGAAGATGCTCCTATTCACTGCCACACAGGACAGTGAGGATGTACCTATTCACTGTCACACAGGACAGTGAGGATGTTCCTATTCACTGTCACACAGGACAGTGAAGATGCTCCAATTCACTCCCACACAGGACAGTGAGAATGTTCCTATTCACTGTCACACAGGACAGTGAAGATGCTCCTATTCACTGCCACACAGGACAGTGAAGATGCACCTATTCACTGCCACACAGGACAGTGAGGATGTTCCTATTCACTGCCACACAGGACAGTGAAGATGCTCCTATTCACTGCCACACAGGACAGTGAGGATGTTCCTATTCACTGTCACACAGGACAGTGAAGATGCTCCTATTCACTGCCACACAGGACAGTGAAGATGCACCTATTCACTGCCACACAGGACAGTGAGGATGTTCCTATTCACTGCCACACAGGACAGTGAAGATGCTCCTATTCACTGCCACACAGGACAGTGAAGATGCTCCTATTCACTGCCACACAGGACAGTGAAGATGCACCTATTCACTGCTACACAGGACAGTGAGGATGTTCCTATTCACTGTCACACAGGACAGTGAAGATGCACCTATTCACTGCCACACAGGACAGTGAAGATGCTCCTATTCACTGCCACACAGGACAGTGAGGATGTTCCTATTCACTGTCACACAGGACAGTGAAGATGCACCTATTCACTGCCACACAGGACAGTGAAGATGCACCTATTCACTGCTACACAGGACAGTGAGGATGTTCCTATTCACTGTCACACAGGACAGTGAAGATGCACCTATTCACTGCCACACAGGACAGTGAAGATGCTCCTATTCACTGCCACACAGGACAGTGAGGATGTTCCTATTCACTGTCACACAGGACAGTGAAGATGCACCTATTCACTGCCACACAGGACAGTGAAGATGCACCTATTCACTGCCATACAGGACAGTGAACATGCTCCTATTCACTGTCACACAGGACAGTGAAGATGCTTCTATTCACTGCCACACAGGACAGTGAAGATTCACCTATTCACTGCCACACAGGACAGTGAAGGTGCACCTATTCACTGTCACACAGGACAGTGAAGATGCACCTATTCACTGCCACACAGGACAGTGAAGATGCTCCTATTCACTGCCACACAGGACAGTGAAGATGAACCTATTCACTGCTACACAGGACAGTGAAGGTGCACCTATTCACTGCCACACAGGACAGTGAAGATGCACCTATTCACTGCCACACAGGACAGTGAAGATGCTTCAATTCACTGCCACACAGGACAGTGAAGATGCACCTATTTACAGCCACAGGACAGTGAAGATGCACCTATTCACTGCTACACAGGACAGTGAAGGTGCACCTATTCACTGCCACACAGGACAGTGAAGATGCTTCTATTCACTGCCACACAGGACAGTGAAGATGCTTCTATTCACTGCTATACAGTACAGTGAAGATGCTTCTATTCACTGCCATACAGTACAGTGAAGATGCTTCTATTCACTGCTACACAGGACAGTGAAGGTGCACCTATTCACTGCCACACAGGACAGTGAAGATCAAACAAAAGACATACGCTCTAGCTTACGAGATGTAACAAATATTAACATTTGCGAGAATTAAAAAGCAACTTCGCCCAATCTTAAGCAATTCAATGGTGTAATTTGGCTCTGGCAAGACGAGGGAGCTCATCTTAAAAGATTCCCCTAAGATAATAAGTTTTTTACAATTCCAAAATGGGCAAGAAATATCGGGTAGATTAAAATAGGATGTCATCCATGACACAGGTCTTGAGATATTTTAACGGTTTGGTGTTCAGTGTTGACGTGAACGTCGTACAAGATCGTCTCAGAGGTTAGTGACTGGCAGCCTCGTTGGGTTGTTAGATGTGCTAGCAAACAAGGTGGTTTACCACTACATCACATTGGTGAATTCGACCTGCTTTTATTACAAAAGTTGATTCAACAATTGTTACAGCTTTTATTATGCAGCTTTGAGATCTTTGAACAATTCTGTATCCCAATAATTTGGGAGAGGTCAAACCCACAGTCGCTATTTTCATCCTTGTGAAATTCATTTGTCAATCACTTGACAATCTCATGCTCTCCACTACAACAATCACTTGACAATCTCATGCTCTCCACGACAACAATCACCCAACAATCTCATGCTCTCCACGACAACAATCACCCAACAATCTCATGCTCTCCACGACAACAATCACCCAACAATCTCATGCTCTCCACGACAACAATCACCCAACAATCTCATGCTCTCCACGACAACAATCACCCAACACTCTCAGGCTCTCCACGACAACAATCACCCAACAATCTCATGCTATCCACGACAACAATCACCCAACAATCTCATGCTCTCCACAACAACAATCACTTGACAATCTCATGCTCTCCACGACAACAATCACCCAACAATCTCATGCTCTCCACGACAACAATCACCTTTCGTTAAATATTACGAGATCTTTCGGAAATTGAGTGTTTTGTGATATACAAAAGTCGCTGTGGACTTTTGTAGTTGGGACTAATTGGTCTAAAACAGTCATATATTGGACGACGGAGCTGTTGGGTGTAGGTAACTTACAATCACCATCCAAGTCATGTTACTATTATCACCATCATCATCGCACCATCACTGCATTTTCCTCGACTGTCAGAAAGCATTTGACAGTGTACCCCATGAGAGACTGGTGTCCAAGATGGGGAAGCAGACTGGAAAGCATTTGACAGTGTACCCCATGAGAGACTGGTGTCCAAGATGGGGAAGTAGACTGGGGTAACTGGGGAAAACACTGAACTGGGTCAGTGTTTTCAGTGTACTGGGAGTACCTGTAGGACAGAAAACAGAGAGTCACAGTCAGAGAGAAGGTTCCAAGCTGGAGGAGTGTAACAAGTGGGGTTATCTTGAGGTTATCTTGAGATGATTTCGGGGCTTTTTAGTGTCCCCGCGGCCCGGTCCTCGACCAGGCCTCTACCCCCAGGAAGCAGCCCGTGGCAGCTGTCTAACTCCTAGGCACCTATTTACTGCTAGGTAACAGGGGCATAGGGTGAAAGAAACTCTGTCCATTGTTTCTCGCCGGCGCCTGGGATCGAACCCAGGACCACAGGATCACAAGTCCAGTGTGCTGTCAGCTCGGCCGACCGGCTAAGAAACATTTTGCCCATTTGTCTCCGCCTCCACCGGGGATTGAACCCGGAACCTCAGGATTACGAATCCGAAGTGCTGTCCACCCAGCCGTCAGAGGTCCCACATGGCTCTATCCTGAGACCACTGCTGTTCCTAATTTATGTGAAAGACCCGCTCGAGGGAGTGAGCTCAGACATATCAGTGCTTGCAGACGAAACAAAGCTGATGAGGAATGTAGAAACAGAGGAGGACTGCAGAAAGTTACAGGAGGACCTTGACAAACTGCAGGAATGGTCAAACAAATGGTTACTGGAATTAAATCCCAACAAGTGTAAGGTAATGAAGATGAGAAAGGAAGAGAGGAGACCAGAAGCCATTTATACCATACGAGGGAAGGCAGCTACAGGAATCATAAAGAGAGAAGGATCTGTGAGTGGATATACACTAGAGCCACACATAAACAGGATAACATCGGCAGCATCTGAGACGCTGGCAGATATAAGAACATCGTTAAAGAAGCTGAATCAGGACTCCTTCAAAGCAATAGAATACGCATCACCGGTATGGAATCCACACCTGGTGAAACATAAAGCCAAAATTGAACAAATACAAATACTTTGCAACGGAGCTAAGAGGGCAAAGCTACAAAGACAGGCTACTGCAACTAAATATCACCACCCTAGAGGTTGGTGTTGTTAAAGATTGGCTATCTTGAGGTTATCTTGAGATGATTTCGGGGCTTTAGTGTCCCCGCGGCCCGGTCCTCGACCAGGCCTCCACCCCCAGGAAGCAGCCCGTGACAGCTGACTAACTCCCAGGTACCTATTTACTGCTAGGTAACAGGGGCATTCAGGGTGAAAGAAACTTTGCCCATTTGTTTCTGCCTCGTGCGGGAATCGAACCCGCGCCACAGAATTACGAGTCCTGCGCGCTATCCACCAGGCTACCAGGCCCCTACAGGGGCCTACGAGGCTACCTGGAACAAAAAGTTCCAAGTAACACGGGCTATGGTGAGCCCGTAAAAACCCTAGAGGATTGAAAGAATAAGAAAGGATATGATCACAACATACAAGATACTAAGGAGAATAGATAAGGCGGACAAGGGTAGCCTCTTCAGCCTGAGAGAAGCATGACAAGAGGACACAGGTGGAAGCTTTAAACACAAATGAGCCGAAGGGCCTTAAGCCAGTACTCGTACCCTGTATGGGGAGTTATCTTGAGGTTATCTTGAGATGATTTCGGGGCTTTTTTTAGTGTCCCCGCGTCCCGGTCCTCGACCAGGCCTCCACCCCCAGGAAGCAGCCCGTGACACCTGACTAACACCCAGGTACCTAATTTACTGCTAGGTAACAGGGACATAGGGGGAAAGAAACTCTGCCCATTGTTTCTCGCCGGCGCCTGGAATCGAACCCAGGACCACAAGTCCCGCGTGCTGTCAGCTCGGCCGACCGACCCCCGAAGTTAACAAGTGGAATGCTCTAAGAGAGGAAGTTTTGGAAGCCACCTCAATCCACAACATTCAGGCCCCATTCCACAACATTCAGGCCTCATTCCACAACATTCAGGCCCCATTCCACAAAGAATTACAAATAATAGTTAAACTGGAACACAACCGGTACAACAAGGCCATTACAACCCTGCGAACACCCAACGTAACGGGCCCTGCAGTTACGTTGTTACAACATCTCACAAAAGATGTTACATCTTGGCATAACGTGACGTTAGAAGGTTGTTTATACAACGTGTTCGAACATTGCAGCAACGTTGTAGTTTGGTCGTGTGTGTGTAGCGGTAAGCGGACACAACACACCACGACGAAACTACAACGTTTCTACAACATTCGAACAAGATTCAACACCCAACAAGTTGTAAAAACGTTCTAATACATCATAAAAACCTTTTTAACAAGATGTAACAACTTTAACACAACTTGTAAATCTGTAAATCCAACTTTATGTTTGTAACTCATCTTCTATCTCTGTACTTTAACCTGAATAAAAATTTGAATTTGAATTTGAAACAAGCGTTAAATAGGGTCAGTTACATTGTGTCTGTGTGTAGGGAAGGAGCAATAGGCCTAACTGACCCGAAGACACTGATAGACAGGTCTTGATAGATAGGGTTATCTTGAGATGATTTCGGGGCTTTTTAGTGTCCCCGCGGCCCGGTCCTCGACCAGGCCTCCACCCCCAGGAAGCAGCCCGTGACAGCTGACTAACACCCAGGTACCTATTTTACCACTAGGTAACAGGGGCATAGGGTGGTTATCTTGAGATGATTTCGGGGCTTTAGGTGTCCCCGCGGCCCGGTCCTCGACCAGGCCTCCACCCCCAGGAAGCAGCCCATGACTGCTGACTAACACCCAGGTACCTATTTTACTGCTAGGTAACAGGGGGCATATGGTGAAAGAAACTCAATGTTTCTCGCCGGCGCCTGGTATCGAACCCCAGGACCACAGGATCACAAGTCCAGCGTGCTGTCCGCTCGGCCGACCGGCTCCCGATAGATAAGGACCAGTGCCGCAGGAGAGAGATGACTAACTTCAATGCCGGAAATACTCACTGAGACAGCAGACGGAGGAGGTAGTTCCGGTAGTAGATAAGGGAGAGAGATATGAGGAGAGCGAGGGTCGTTAAGGAGGCGGTCAAGACCTGTGAGGGTCAGCCGGGCTTCCGTTAATCACTGTTACTCACAGTGGCTCCTTGTAATCTTCCCCTCCTCCTCCTTTGGATTGAAATGAGTCAAAATTCCTACCACTCAGTTTACCTGTTTAAGTTACTCATGACATGTAGAACTGAGTTACCTGAGTTACTCATGCGTGGTAGAGCTGAGTTACTCGTGAGTGGGTTAGCTGAGTTACTTAACTCTCATTTACAAGTAATCGACACACTGAATCACTCATGCATAAGTGATTGGCACTCTGAATCATTCATACACAAGTGATTGGCACTCTGAATCATTCATACACAAGTGATTGGCATTCTGAATCATTCATACACAAGTGATTGGCATTCTGAATCATTCATACACACAAGTGATTGGCAATGAATCATTCATACATAAGTGATTGGCACTGAATCATTCATACACAAGTGATTGGCACTCTGAATCATTCATACATAAGTGATTGGCATTCTGAATCATTCATACACACAAGTGATTGGCACTTTGTATCACTCAAACACAAGTGATTGGCTCTCTGAATCATTCATACATAAGTGATTGGCACTCTGAATCATTCATACACACAAGTGATTGGCACTCTGTATCACTCAAACACAAGTGATTGGCACTCTGAATCATTCATACATAAGTGATTGGCACTCTGAATCATTCATACACACAAGTGATTGGCACTCTGTATCATTCATACACAAGTGATTGGCACTGAATCATTCATACACACAAGTGATTGGCACTCTGAATCATTCATAATCACAAGTGATTGGCACTCTGAATCCCTCATACACAAGCGATTAGCACTCTGAATCCCTCATACACAAGCGATTGGTACTCATACGTGGATTGTGTCATCCATCTGTATACAAAAGGTCTCTGATGTACTTGTGCCACTTCTGCCCTGGTTGCGTGACATATAATGCTTGAATTGCGTCACATATGTTGCTTGAGTTGCGTCACATGTGCTTGAGTTGCGTCACATGTGCTTGAGTTGCGTCACATGTGCTTGAGTTGCGTTCAGTGCTGCTTGGGTTGTGTTACATCTTAGTTTATATTTTTGTTTGTAATTTTGCCCCGAGGAGCGAGTTCGCTGTGGTCACTCATCCTGTGAGTGACCACACCGCCATAGTGACAGTATTGGGCAGCGCCACTCATCCTGTGAGTGGACACACCGCCATAGTGACAGTATTGGGCAGCGCCACTCATCCTGTGAGTGACCACACCGCCATAGTGACAGTATTGGGCAGCGTCACTCATCCTGTGAGTGGACACACCGCCATAGTGACAGTATTGGGCAGCGCCACTCATCCTGTGAGTGGACACACCGCCATAGTGACAGTATTGGGCAGCGCCACTCATCCTGTGAGTGAACACACCGCCATAGTGACAGTATTGGGCAGCGCCACTCATCCTGTGAGTGGACACACCGCCATAGTGACAGTATTGGGCAGCGTCACTCATCCTGTGAGTGGACACACCGCCATAGTGACAGTATTGGGCAGCGCCACTCATCCTGTGAGTGGACACACCGCCATAGTGACAGTATTGGGCAGCGCCACTCATCCTGTGAGTGGACACACCGCCATAGTGACAGTATTGGGCAGCGTCACTCATCCAGTGAGTGGACACACCGCCATAGTGACAGTATTGGGCAGCGTCACTCATCCTGTGAGTGGACACACCACCATAGTGACAGTATTGGGCAGCGTCACTCATCCTGTGAGTGAACACACCGCCATAGTGACAGTATTGGGCAGCGTCACTCATCCTGTGAGTGGACACACCGCCATAGTGACAGTATTGGGCAGCGCCACTCATCCTGTGAGTGGACACACCGCCATAGTGACAGTATTGGGCAGCGCCACTCATCCTGTGAGTGGACACACCGCCATAGTGACAGTATTGGGCAGCGCCACTCATCCTGTGAGTGGACACACCGCCATTGTGACAGTATTGGGCAGCGCCACTCATCCTGTGAGTGAACACACCGCCATAGTGACAGTATTGGGCAGCGCCACTCATCCTGTGAGTGGACACACCGCCATAGTGACAGTATTGGGCAGCGCCACTCATCCTGTGAGTGGACACACCGCCATTGTGACAGTATTGGGCAGCGCCACTCATCCTGTGAGTGAACACACCGCCATAGTGACAGTATTGGGCAGCGCCACTCATCCTGTGAGTGGACACACCGCCATAGTGACAGTATTGGGCAGCGCCACTCATCCTGTGAGTGGACACACCGCCATAGTGACAGTATTGGGCAGCGCCACTCATCCTGTGAGTGGACACACCGCCATAGTGACAGTATTGGGCAGCGCCACTCATCCTGTGAGTGGACACACCGCCATAGTGACAGTATTGGGCAGCGTCACTCATCCTGTGAGTGAACACACCGCCATAGTGACAGTATTGGGCAGCGCCACTCATCCTGTGAGTGGACACACCGCCATAGTGACAGTATTGGGCAGCGTCACTCATCCTGTGAGTGGAAACACCGCCATAGTGACAGTATTGGGCAGCGCCACTCATCCTGTGAGTGACCACACCGCCATAGTGACAGTATTGGGCAGCGCCACTCATCCTGTGAGTGGACACACCGCCATAGTGACAGTATTGGGCAGCGCCACTCATCCTGTGAGTGAACACACCGCCATAGTGACAGTATTGGGCAGCGCCACTCATCCTGTGAGTGGACACACCGCCATAGTGACAGTATTGGGCAGCGTCACTCATCCTGTGAGTGGACACACCGCCATAGTGACAGTATTGGGCAGCGCCACTCATCCTGTGAGTGGACACACCGCCATAGTGACAGTATTGGGCAGCGCCACTCATCCTGTGAGTGAACACACCGCCATAGTGACAGTATTGGGCAGCGCCACTCATCCTGTGAGTGGACACACCGCCATAGTGACAGTATTGGGCAGCGCCACTCATCCTGTGAGTGGACACACCGCCATAGTGACAGTATTGGGCAGCGTCACTCATCCTGTGAGTGAACAC